GATAGTTAGGAGGAAAGTTGTACGAGAGGAATTTAAAATAATATTAAAACTAAAAAATGAGGAAGGACAAGATAACATTAGCCCCATTGTGGTGTCAAGAGAAATAAAAAAGAAAATTGGGGATGTTGAAATGGTAAAGATGTTGAGAGATGGGAATCTGTTGGTGGTTTGTAAAAACGAAGAACAAAAGAACAAGGCTCTTAACGTGGAGAGTATTTGTAAAAAGAATGTGTTAGAGAAAAGAATCATTGGAGAAAATAAAAAAACTAGAGGAGTGATTTATGGGATCCCTCTAGATGAAGATCTTGATAAAATCAAGAAAAGTGTAGTTGGTGCCAAAGTGAGTAACTTAAAGAGACTGTCAAAAACAATAAACGGGGAAAGAGTAGGGAGTCTGTCAATACTCATGGAATTCGAAGAGAAAGAATTACCACTAAACATCAAAATAGGTTATCTCAGTTTTCAGGTCAGGCCTTATATCCCTCCACCACTTCGTTGCTTTAAATGTCAAAGATATGGTCACATAGCAGCAGTTTGCAAAGGAAAGCAGAGATGTCCAAAATGTGGAGAAGATCACAAATTAGAAGAGTGTAAAGAAGAAGTACAAGAAAAATGTTGTAACTGTGGAGGGAATCATAGAGTTACATTCGGAGGATGTGAAGTCAGGAAGAAAGCAAAAGAAGTCACTCAGATTAAAATGACCAAAAATATAAGCTATGCAGAGGCAGTTAAAAATGTGAAAGAACAGAAAATAAGAGAGGTTGAAAAAACGAGGCAAATTCCACTGCAAAGTGAGATACAGACAGAGGAAAAGATCGTGATACCAGTAGAAAAACTAATATTATTCATGGCATATGTCATCAACTGTACTGACCAAGCCAAGAATAAAACGGAGAAGATTAAAATTATAGTGAGGGGAGCGGAAAAGTTTTTGGGGTTTAAAGAGGGATCATGGGAGAGCATAAACAAAAAATTGGAGGTAGACGGGAAGCCAGGAACGTCTGGTGGAAATAATTCATGTTAATACTACAATGGAATGCAAGAAGTTTGATTGCTAACGGACAGGAACTTAAAGGATATATTGATAGTCTTGAGGAAAAACCAGAAATTATTTGTATTCAAGAAACATGGCTAAAAGAAACGTTGGAGTTTGTGATTAACGGATATGGTAGTGTAAGAAGAGATAGGCAGGAGGGAGGAGGAGGTGGATGTGGTATATTTGTAAAAGAAGGGATACAATATCAGGTTTTAGGGAAAGGGAAAGAACTTGAATATATAATAATTGAAATTTGGGAACAAGGTGGTAAAGTTAAAATAATAAATTTTTATAATCCATGTAAATTATTATCAATTGAAATAATGGAGGAATTAACTGAATATTTGGAAGGAAATGTAATTTGGTGTGGGGATTTTAATGCTAATAGTACATTATGGGGTAAATGTAATGATAGAAATGGGAAAATAATAGAAGAATTAATAGAAAGTAAAAATCTTGTATGTATTAATGATGGGAGGGGAACTAGACTTAATATAAGAACAGGGATGGAATCAGCTATTGATTTAACAATAGTCTCAAATGGGTTAGCTAGTAATTGTGAATGGATCATTGATAAAAATACAACAATAGGTAGTGATCATTATCCCATTACAATAAAAGTAGGATTAAATATAAATAATAAAAATAGAAAGGTCAGTAAAAAATGGGATTTTAATAAAGCAGATTGGATTAAATTTAGATTTTTAAGTCAAATAAAATTAGAAAAAGTGGATATGGAAATGAATATAGATGATATAAATTTAAAAATTTGTGAGATAATCTTGGAAGCAGCAGATAAATCTGTGAAGAAAGTAGGCTGTAAAAATTCTAAGAAAATAGTACCATGGTGGACAAATGAATGTAAAGAAGCAATAAAAGCAAGAAACAAAGCATTTAAGGTATTAAGAGGTAACTTAAAGTATGAGAATTTAATTGATTATAAAAGAAAGCAAGCTATGGTAAGGAGAATAATTAAGAATACAAAGAGAGAATACTGGAGAAATTTTTGTAGCACAATAGGGAAGGAAACAAAAATAGAAAAAATTTGGAAAATGATTAGAAGAATGAATGGCATTAAAAGAGAATTCGAATATCCTATATTAAAAGTAGATAATATAAATATAGTTAAAGACGATGATAAAGTAGAAATATTGGCAAGAACATTCAGTAAAATCCACAGTTCTGACAATATTAGTGAGGAGGGTAGAAAAGGAAGAGAAAATACAAAACTCAAATATAAAGATGTGTTGCAGAATGAAGAAGAAGCAAATAATTTGTTAAATGTTGAATTCACAAAAGCTGAATTGAACTCTACATTTACAAAACTTAAAAATACAGCACCAGGGAAAGATAAAATATGGTATAGAATGATAAGTCAGCTCAGTGAAAAATCTAAAGGGATAATATTGGAATTTTATAATAAAATTTGGGAGGAGGGGAAATTACCAATGGAATGGAAAGAATCAATTATAGTACCAATAGCAAAACCAGGGAAAGATAAATCAATACCAGGAAATTATAGACCAATAGCTTTAACATCAAATTTGTGTAAAATAATGGAAAAAATGATTAACAATAGACTAATATTTTATTTAAATAGCAAGGGGTATATAGTAAATTATCAAAGTGGATTTCGAAAAGGGCGGAGTACTAATGATCCAACATTATGTCTAGAGCATGAAATTAGAAAGGCACAAGTTAATAAAGAAAATGTGGTGGCAGTATTTTTTGATATAGAAAAAGCGTATGATATGATGTGGGTAGAGGGATTATTAATTAAACTATATAGGTTGGGCATTAAAGGAAAGATATATCAATGGATTAAAGACTTTTTACTAAATAGGAAAATTCAAGTTAGAATCGGTGAAGTAACATCAGGAGTATATAGAGTAGAGAACGGTACACCACAGGGGAGTATAATAAGTCCGTTATTGTTCTCTATTATGATAAATGATATTTTTAAAGGTATTGATAAAGAAATGGGATGTTCACTCTTTGCGGATGATGGAGCGGTTTGGAAAAGAGGGAAGAATTTAGATTTCATTGTTAAAAAATTACAAGATGTTATTAATGAGCTAGAGAGATGGGCATGGCAATGGGGATTTAAGTTTTCAGTCGAAAAAACAAAAGTAATGGTATTTACTAGGAAAAAAATAAACAGGGAAGTAAAATTAAAATTATATAGTCAAGAGTTAGAGCAAGTAAAATGTATTAAATTTCTAGGATTATGGTTTGATGATAAACTAAAATGGAATGTACATATCCAGAAAGTTGTTGATAAAAGTAAGAAAATCTTAAATATTTTGAGATGTTTGGCTGGAAATGATTGGGGAGCAGATAGGCAATCTTTGAAACAGGTTTATACAGGTATGATAAGAGCTAACATAGATTTTAGTTGTATTGTTTACGGTTCAGCAGCAAAAGCACATTTGGTTAAACTAGAGGTAATACAACATCAAGCATTAAGATTGTGTTCTGGAGCGTTTAAAACCACACCAAGAGCAGCAATGGAAGTAGAGATGGGAGAAATGCCATTAGAATTAAGAAGATTAAGGTTGGAATTAAATTATTGGTTAAATTTGCAGAGCAATAATTCAGATCATCCAGCTATGGAAATTTTAAAACCATGTTGGGAAAAAGAAACAAAAGATATGGGGAGTCTTGGATGGACAATTGAAAATAAAATAAAAGAATTTAACATGAATAATCTGGAAATTAGTCATACAACACCAACATCAGTAATACCGCCATGGATTTTACCAGAAGCAACAGTAGATATGACAATCATGGAAAAGAAGCAGGATAAATCTTTCATCATTGATAGTAGTTCAGTACAGGTACATTTAAACAATTACTATCAGTATATTCAAATCTATACAGATGCATCAAAGATAACTGGAAAAGTAGGAATAGCGTTTGTTGTACCAGAATTCAATATAAGAATAGGAAAACGAATTACAGACGATTTATCAGTATACACAGGAGAAATGATGGCAATTTTATTGTCCTTACAATGGGTAGAAGAGATAAAACCATTAAAAACAATAATCTGTTCAGATTCAAGTTCTGCATTATTAAGTATTAAAAACAAGCAATCGGATAGTAGAATGGACATATTATTAGAAATTTTTCACACATTATATAGAATTAAAAATATGGGTGTGATAGTTATTTTTGTATGGGTTCCAGCGCATATTGGAATAGAAGGAAATGAGAGAGCAGATAAAATAGCAAAAGGGGCAATTCAAAAACCAATTAGCATTAAAGTTAAAACAAGTAAAGCTGAAGGAAAGAGTATGGTTAAGGAAAAACTGATGGAAAAGTGGCAGAAAAGGTGGGATGAAGAAATAACAGGAAGATGGTTTTATAAAATTCAGAAGAAGGTTAAAGAAAGAAGAAAGGGAAAAAGAAATAGAAAAGAGGAAAGAGTGATAACCAGGATAAGATTTGGGCATACTGGACTTAACTACTCACTTTTTAAAATTCAAAAACATGCAACTGGTAAATGTGAATATTGTGGAGAATGGGAAACAGTAGAACATGTTATTCTAGAATGTGATAAATATGAAAGAGAGAGAAGATGTATGATAAAAGAGTTTGAAAGTATTAAGGTAAAATTTATGTTAATAGATATTTTGAGGGAAAGTTTGGAGAGCAAACATATACAAATAGTTATTAGATTCTTAAAGAAAACTAAGATATTCAGTAGAATTTGATAGAGTAGACATAAGAGTGAATGTGTGGATGATAGTGATGAGTAGAATATAAATATGGATGTAAGTTTGTTTGTGTGGGTTGGTAGGTGTATGTATGAGTATATATAGATATATATATACAAAAAGAGCGTTAGACCAACGAGAGCCACACTCCATACCAGTAAGTGGCGGTAATGCTACTATTAAGTTTGTTGCCAACCGCCAATAAACACAACAAGAAGAAGAAGAAGAAGAAGAAGAACAATAACATGGAACTCATCATTCTAGAATAAACGGACAAGTTTATTACATGGTGTCAGAAGTGGCGGAGCTATGGCAAAGTTTCAACCACCGGAGAGTTTTTGTTTCGAGAACCCGGCGGAGTGGCCTGATTGGAAAAAACGTTTTTCCCGTTACAGGACTGCAACTAAACTGGATAAGGAAGATGGTCCGGTTCAAGTGAGCACGCTGGTTTATGCGCTCGGTAAGGAAGCGGAGAACATACTGAGCTCTTTTACCTACGGAGAGGGTGAAAATGAAGATCAGTTTGACGTCGTCATGGCAAAGTTTGATGCCTACTTTATTCCGAGACGCAACGTTATCCACGAACGGGCTTGTTTCAACCAGAGAGTGCAGCATGTTGGTGAACGCGCAGAGACATTTATCCGAGCACTGTACGAACTATCAGAGCACTGTGAATTTGGGGCGAACCGAGAGGAACACATTAGAGACCGGATCGTGGTCGGCATCTCAGACAAAGAGCTGTCACAGAAGCTGCAGCTCATCCCGAAACTCACTCTGGATGCGACGGTACAGGAAGTGCGGCAGTCCGAGGAGGTGAAGACACAGGTTAACAAGCAGGGAGAGCGAGTCTGTGCTGTCCAAGAAGTGGCGCAGAAACATGGCGGCGCGCGGGTTAAAGACTGGAGACAGCGCAAGGACAAGCAGAAATATAAAGACCGTGACCGCAGGAAATGTGGACGGTGCGGCAAAACACCGCATAGCCAACATGATAAGTGTCCCGCAAAACAGTCCACCTGCAACAGATGTGGAAAAAAGGGTCACTGGGAAAGAGCATGCAGAAACAGGCTGGTGAGTGAAGTTACAGAGGATGATGAACAAAATAAACATTATTACCTGGGCTCAGTTAATGGTACATCAGAAAATGATGATGAATGGACAGTAACACTGGATATTCCGTAGAATCGTGAGCGCGCATGGGGGCGCTATTAGGAAATCCTATACACTACTGTTTAGGCTCTAAAACGTTCTAAATGACTTCGTTTCGAGTAAATTCTGGATGCTACCCACTCAGGACACTTGGATTACATTGGACGAGCAGTATGGAGGAATATTGACACGTTTTTGTGGACTTTTATGGACCTTTCTGTCTCGGGCGCCATAGACCTCCATTATTTGAATGTCAGCAGACAGCAAGAAGCCTCCCAGATCTCCAGATGCATTTGAGATATCAAAAAAGTACTCCAGAGTGTTGTTCAGCATGGGGGTGAGTAGAAAATGAAGGCTAATCATGTTTTGGGTGTACTATTCCTTTAATGTTGGGACGGGTGTTAAATGAGCACATGTTAAATAAAACGGAGTGCTGAAACAATAACATGGAACTCATCATTCTAGAATAAACGGACAAGTTTATTACACATAGATTAATTAATTCATCGTATATGCACTGCCAGTTTTATTTTACGCATATTATTTCATAAATACCCCATTAGATTTTGAAAATTCCCAAGCTTTAAATTAAGCAGTTTTATTGTTTATTGACTGGCCTATTAGTGTTAAAAAAGACATTCATACCTTATATTTAAAGTTTTACAGAGTGCTAGGGGGGTTTAGAAAGAACACGATACATTGCTTTTAATTGTTTTTGACAAGTAAAAACGAAGAGTGAATCTGTTTAATCCTCCTGGGCCAACACTAGGTGGCAGTAGATCAAACTTTGCAGCTAAAGCTTGACATCTGAGGGATCTCTTCATCAGTTTTGCTCCTCCAGAGATTGAAAGCTTTGCCCATTATTACTTGCAAAACCACTCAGTGCTTTTGGAAGTTGAATATCTCTTACTATTAGTTAAGCCTTACCAAACATTTTCAATAACACTGTCTTGACGTTGACAAAGTTCAGCTCTGATAAAATACCTATATGCTGATTTTATCTGTTATTTTCTGTTTTGTCTGCCTTAATGTAAGATTATGCATTTCCTGTTGTGTGAAAGCATCCAGCTGGCAGAGAGGTGATTTGTTATTTACCGTAACCTCAAAGTATTTTCAGTTGGTCATTCAAAACTCTTATTTCCGGTTTTGTTCATCTGTGTGCAGTCCATCACGCTAAGCTTTTCAACTCTGTTCTTTTTTCAAAGGGTTTATTGGTGACATGTGGAAAACTGTGGAAAAGTGGACAGTGGAAAACTGCAGGAGCCAGTATCTGGTTACATCACAGTCCTTGTCTCCAAGTACGAATGGCTCTATGACAAAACAAGAACATATAGATTTACCAATATATTCTTTACCAGACTTTAAAATCAAGTCTATAACTTCAGACCTGCGAAACATCTGTAACATGGGTCCCTGTCCTGAAGGCCCAGTGTGTTTCGTTTCTCTCTGTTCTTTCTCTCTTCTTCTCTTTTCTTGTTCCTCCTCTTTCTCCCGCTTTAATCGCAGATACTCCTCACATGCCATCTTAGCTTCAAGCTGCAGACAGCGCTGCTCCTCATCAACAGAGACCGTTTTCTTAAAAAGAGGCATTATATACAGTATAATATATATATATAAAACGTCTAAATTAATATGTAGTAGTGGAACATAAATGCATGCCACGTCCCTTATTTTTTATTTTGTAAAAACGTCTGAAACCCATTACATTCCTTTAAATGATCAACTCAGGTGCTCCATATAAAATCTTATTGACATTTTTATATGTAATGTGACAGATTGTGAAACTGAAACAACAATATGATCTCTTTATGAAAGGAGGAACCAGAAGTATGAGCAGCTTTCTGTCTACGTTTACTTCATCCAAACTCATGGCTGCTTTGCCTCTCTACCTCTCTCCTTTTGTCCTGCAGGTGAAGCAGCTCCTGATGCCAGTCTTCATGTTGCTGGATCTCCTCCTGAGTTTTATGCGGCAGGTAAAACATGGCCTCTTTCCTGTACGACAGCCGCCAACTGTGCTTCATCCACACCTGTTAGTTCAGAAGAAAAAGTCTTAAGGATAAAACTGTCATAAAAAACTGAACAATGACCAACTGGAGTTAGGTAGGATAAATCAGTAATCAGATCATTATTTTGCATTTCTTACTCTTTGGAAAGTTTGGTGATCGTATTGATCCCGGCCTCCATGAGGACCTCCTGTCTTTCGCGGATAATCCTCCAAAGCTTTGACCTCAGGAAGGTTTCTGTTGGAGGGTTTGATCTTAAAGAAAACATAAATCAAGCCCTTCATCCCTTTTTCCATATTAGAATAAATAACGGAGAAAAAAGCTTCATGGTGTAAAAGGAAGGGAATCTAACCTTGAGAGTGGTTGCTGCAGGCAGTTTGGGGTTTGTTTTAACATTAAGGCTCCTGTTTTCAATCTTCTTCTTATAAGCAGTAACCTCCTGCTGAGTCTGCTCCTCCTTTAAATATTCCTCAAAGCTAATAGGAACAAAGAAGCACAAACTTTAATTCTTAATATTTTCATTTTACTACCGGTAACCTTGCCGATCTATAAATCCTGCATACTGCTCAGTGCTTTTGAATTGCTCTAATTCTCAGGATTGTTTGATACCCTTAAACCCATTTTTCAAAATCTGCACACTCTGCATAAAGAAAATACCGTGCGTTTTAAACTATTTTACTAAATAAAAGTATGCAGAAACGTAACGTTATAATAGAGGGTGGTGTTGTGGTCTAAACATGCATGTTTGGTGAAACTTTTTACCGTAAACGCTGCTCTTCCTTTAAAGTGTTTATTGACGCTTCCACCTCTGACTTGATTTCTTGAAGTTTTTCAATCACTAGAAAAACAAGTGAAATTGCAGAAACATTTTCAACAAACTGTCCTAAAAGACCAACTTTTATCTTTCTTATTATGCTTATTTCATTTTCAATATCATTCAACATATCACCTAAGAAAGAATGTTAAGTATATAAATTCTAATAATGAAGAAGTAAACTTAAGTTTTTCCAGCTAATGAAAACATCAACCTGGTTGAAGGTTCTTTAGCATAAAAGTAAAGAAATTTTTGCATACATTCAGGAGTCGGCTTAATGCCGGTTAGATGTCTCTGAAATTTCTTTACACCATCACTGATCTTCACCAGTTGCTTCTGAAGGCTCACCTCTAAAGAAAAGGAAGAACATTACGTTTGAAGTAACACTGTAACATGTAGCAACACTCTAGCTTCTTTACCCCATTTCTGCAGGTTTCAGGCAACAATAATAACTTTTTAAAATAGTAACATGTGTTTATTGCCTTAAAGGGGAACGCCGTTATTTTTTACATTGGGCCCTTGATTTTACGTTATTACATCATGTTCTACTCACACATATGAAGTTTGTGTCATCTGGAGCCGTTCTGAAGATATTCCATTAGGTTATATCCAAGCAACGTCTTCCTATGGGCAACGAGTTGAAGGCACAAACTAAACAGTTCATAATTTATTCTTTATGGTACGCCAGCATTCATAACATGTAGGCGAATCACTGTCCCCCAGACATCCGCGGTTATATCTTTTATATTTATATCTTTTAAAAACAAAGCGGAGTGTGTATGACGTCATCCGTGCGCCGGACTGGAGACATAACAGGCAGCCCGGGCCACAGGCGGCTACGCTCTACCTCTTCTATTCATTTGGCTAGCTAATCTGTATCGTTCAGTTCCATTTCAAAAGCGAGATCATCTGTGGTAGTAGCACTAGACATCTTCCAGGCATGTGAGTAAAACTAGCAGCCGTTCAGACGTCATACACACTCCGCTTTGTTTTTAAAAGATATAAATATAAAAAATATAACCGCGGATGTCTGGGGACAGTGATTCGCCTACATTTAATGAATTCTGGCGTACCATAAATGATAAATTATGAACAGTTTAGTTTGTGCCTTCAAGTCGTTGCCCATAGGAAGACGTTGCTTGGATATAACCTAACGAAATATCTTCAGAACAGCTCCAAATGACACAAAACTCATATGGGTGAGTAGAACATGATGTAATAACGTAAAATCAAGGGCCCAATGTAAAATAAACCGGTGTTCCCCATTAAGGTGAGCTTAAAACCTTCAAAAACCCTGCACATATACAACTAACCATAATGAAGGAGATTACAGCAGATTACGCAACTGCAACGTTACAGTTTTAAAAACTATCAACATGGTTATGGAGTAGATTACAGGGCAACTCTCAAGAAAAAAAAAGGATTTGGATAAAATATATGAATGTTAAAAGACTGTTGTTAGCAAAGCTCCAAAGAGAGAGACACAGTCTTAAATCAGAGGCAATCTGTCCTTTAGCTGAAGCTGTAGAAATGAAAGATGGTTAAGGTTCAGACATCAACCTGATGGAAACTATATGGTTCACCTTGAAGGAATCCTACTATCATTAAAAACATGTCAATTCGTTCTGGCCTCTCTTCGTCAGGGCAATGGCTAAATAGTATAGAACTGAATAGAATAGAATTCAACTTTAAGATCATTACACTTTCACAAGCACAAAGCAATGGAATGTAGTTTGCATCTATCCAGAAGTGCTACACAGGATATAAATATTTATTTACCTGTGTATAGAGACTATTTATGCATGGACCATAACTGGTATATATAAACAGAGGGTAATTGTAGGAAGCTATGAAATAAATATATATGAAAACTATATACAGAATATACAGGAAATGTACTGTGTAAATGTTTTTCAGTCTGGTCTAGTGTACAGATACTGATCATGTGACCACTTACCTGCACGAACTGAGCAGCGGTCTTTGATTGTCTTTTTAACTGACATTAGAGCAGACTGACAAACATTCAGGCTGAAACACGTTGGCATGTTTTAATCACAGTAGCCATGTACCAGTAAAGCAGTGGTCTCCAACCTTTTTAAGCCCAAGATCCCCAACCTCCACTTTGGTGGGAAGCAAGATCTACCTGAGGCGCTGCAATAAAAGAAGCCCAGATTCTCCTTCAAACATGAAGCCTTTTATTTACTAATGAACTCATAAAACAACTGTTTTTGAATTACATAAAATGTTTATGGTCCAACGGGACAAATTAATGCAAAAAAGAAAACATTGTAAGGAGCAAATCAAACTGGCCATAGTTTCATATCAAATTCAATTAATATCAACACCAAAGTAAAGCATGGCATATCAGGTGTTATGCTTATCTTCTGGAGCTTCACTAGTCACATTAATATCAACAATTTACCAAATAGAACTGTATTGTTAACACAATTTTCAATGCAACTTATAATATAGCTTTATGTCAAACACAAAAAAATAAAGGCATGGCCTATTTCCTTTTGTGGCTGCTTTGCCTCTCTACCTCTCTCCTTTTGTCCTGCAGGTGAAGCAGCTCCTGATGCCAGTCTTCATGTTGCTGGATCTCCTCCTGAGTTTTATGCGGCAGGTAAAACATGGCCTCTTTCCTGTACGACAGCCGCCAACTGAGCTTCATCCACACCTGTTAGTTCAGAAGAAAAAGTCTTAAGGATAAAACTGTCATAAAAAACTGAACAATGACCAACTGGAGTTAGGTAGGATAAATCAGTAATCAGATCATTATTTTGCATTTCTTACTCTTTGGAAAGTTTGGTGATCGTATTGATCCCGGCCTCCATGAGGACCTCCTGTCTTTCGCGGATAATCCTCCAAAGCTTTGACCTCAGGAAGGTTTCTGTTGGAGGGTTTGATCTTAAAGAAAACATAAATCAAGCCCTTCATCCCTTTTTCCATATTAGAATAAATAACGGAGAAAAAAGCTTCATGGTGTAAAAGGAAGGGAATCTAACCTTGAGAGTGGTTGCTGCAGGCAGTTTGGGGTTTGTTTTAACATTAAGGCTCCTGTTTTCAATCTTCTTCTTATAAGCAGTAACCTCCTGCTGAGTCTGCTCCTCCTTTAAATATTCCTCAAAGCTAATAGGAACAAAGAAGCACAAACTTTAATTCTTAATATTTTCATTTTACTACCGGTAACCTTGCCGATCTATAAATCCTGCATACTGCTCAGTGCTTTTGAATTGCTCTAATTCTCAGGATTGTTTGATACCCTTAAACCCATTTTTCAAAATCTGCACACTCTGCATAAAGAAAATACCGTGCGTTTTAAACTATTTTACTAAATAAAAGTATGCAGAAACGTAACGTTATAATAGAGGGTGGTGTTGTGGTCTAAACATGCATGTTTGGTGAAACTTTTTACCGTAAACGCTGCTCTTCCTTTAAAGCAGTGGTTCTCAAACTTTTTCTGTCATTCCCCACTTTGGACAAGGGGGAATTTTCAAGCCCCGCCTGTCCCCATCGCCCCAACACAATGCTAATGAAATATTCAACAATCTTAAAATGTTCCAATTTTATTGAAGTAACAAGTAGTATCTAAATACAAATCTACATCAAATAACAGCAAGCTCAAAAATAAAGAAAATAAAAATGCAGCTGTGTCAAAATTTGTATCAAGCTCAAAGATAGAAAAAATTAAAGTGCCACTCTGCAATCTGTTAATAAAAGAAAAGAAGTGAAATCCATCTGGCAAGACAGGTCTATTTATCCCTGCATTAGTGGCTGCAATGAGCCTGTTTTGCATTGCAGTTTCTCAAAACGGGGTTGCAGGCTTGATACTGCCACTCTCAAGTCATGCTCAATGTTCTGCTGAGATCTGTATTTTGTTTTCATTGAAGCAGCAGCTGAAAAGCCCATCTCACAGAGATATGATGTGGCAAAGGGAAGAAGAATGCACACAGCTCTCTGCCCGATGAGTGGATACTCGCTCTCCACTCCTAACCAGAAACATGAACATGTGGCTGTGTGAATCAAACGCCGTTATTTATTTAAGATAAAATATTTCAAATTCAGTTATTTATGATCAACCTGCGCCGTCAATCCCGGCGCATGTGCGCTTTATTTGCAGTCTGGACGCAAAAGTTAAACATGCTGTGTCTCTGCTCTGACTGCAGCGCTGATAGGGACTCCTGCAATAGCGGGGGAGAACGGGGTTGGGACGGGGGAGGCGCCCCACGGCAGCACCTGCCGCTGGAGGACAAGAAAAGGAACGATACGTGCTTTCACGTAAGAGTCTCCAAAAGGCGCTAGATTTGTTTTTTTTTGAAAAAGAGTCGCTGGAGGGGTCTGAAATATAGCGACAAAGTCGCTGAGTTGGCAACACTGGGGCGCGAAAGTTTATTCTGTTACAAATAATATGCCGACGTCACGTCAATCATTATTTTGGCACTTCAGTTCCAGGGGAAATTTTTCTCATATCTAATGTTCTTTTAATTAGACTGCATGTAGGCTAGTAATGATTACTTTGTGGGTTTGATTGGTCTAAAAAGCGGCAACATACAGCTATAAGGACAGTTTGCTCTCACACATTCTACATTTATAGTCACACACACACACACACACACACACACACACCGGAACTTGGCGCGCCCCACCTGTCACGTCTCAATTCCCCACCAGTGGGTCGCGCCACACACTTTGAGAACCGAGGCTTTAAAGTGTTTATTGACGCTTCCACCTCTGACTTGATTTCTTGAAGTTTTTCAATTACTAGAAAAACAAGTGAAATTGCAGAAACATTTTCAACAAACTGTCCTAAAAGACCAACTTTTATCTTTCTTATTATGCTTATTTCATTTTCAATATCATTCAACATATCACCTAAGAAAGAATGTTAAGTATATAAATTCTAATAATGAAGAAGTAAACTTAAGTTTTTCCAGCTAATGAAAACATCAACCTGGTTGAAGGTTCTTTAGCACTTCTGGATAGATGCAGAAGTGCTACGTTGTTAACACAATTTTCAATGCAACTTATAATATAGCTTTATGTCAAACACAAAAAAATAAAGGCATGGCCTATTTCCTTTTGTATGAGGTCACCATTTCTTTTATAGAAGATAACAAACTAAAAGCGAACATATTGCATGCAGTGTTATGCTTAACCATTTAACTTTCATTTAAGTTACACCACATTAACATTTTAGGAATAAAATTTATTAAAATAGAACTGATTGTGTTTAAAAGAATTCCCTGTCAGTGTAAATGAGCTCAGTGTAGTTATTTAGCATATTTATGTGTAATTAACATCCCATGTTAAAACTAGCATGTTACTCACCCAGGTTAGTGAGATGGCTGTG